AAAGTGCAATAAAATGAGGTATGCCTCGGTTTCATATTAACTAGAATCGAATTGCCTTAACCTGGAGGCAGGGGCTAGTTTGAAAACTCAGGGCCCAGGGAAGGTGAACAATGGGGAAGCCAGCTCCTGAGATGGTCCCACAAGAGGTGTGTGTGTGTTGGTAGGTGAGGTGGTGAGCGGTGGAGGGAGCGGGTGAGGAGGGGGCCACCCTAACCCACCGCCCCACCCCTGGGATCATCCAGTACCCTTTCTCACGGATTGGGTACAAATAGAATCATTCACTGCTTAACTTACATACGTCCCAAAGGTGAGTAACACCAGAAGAGTTAGTCATTTATAGACATTTTAGGTTTTTGTCACAAGAGCATAGGTAGCCACAATTTAGAAGTCAAGTCTGACCGTTCCTTTCAGCAAGTAGAAGGAACTTCAGAAGAAGCCTCCTATCACTTACACGGTCCAAGGAATGACACAGTAAACCATGGCTCTGATTTGCTCCTTAATAGCAACCAGGATCTCTTGAACGCTAACTCACATACACTAATGTATTCTGCTGATAAAATGTGGGACGTTCTTGTCAGTGTTAAAAGAGCCAAAGGGATCTGAGTAAGGAGAAGGTTTGTCGCACACTTAACAGGGAAAGGGGAGAACCAAATACAAAAAGCTAACGCATTGAGGGTTACGGTATTGTTTCTGCTGTCCCACTGGAGCATATCTTTTTATTGTATTCCTGTTGTAAAGTCTTCCCTTGAATTTCTGATAATTTCAGCTGGGTAGTCTGAAAATAACGAAACATAAATTCGATTCTACTTTCCCTTCTCAAAGTATCCAAGTGGGAAAAAAGCTCTTAAAAAGCAGCCCCATTTCCCCATTAAAAACACACACCAACACTAGTCCATTCATTCACATATGCTTAGCCATTGCCTGCCAAATCCTTTCTGAGGAATTGTTCTATCATTTTAGAACACCACCATGCATTCAAACCTCCTGAAAGTTTGTTTATAAGATTTTACTTTTAAAAAACCGGTATATTCTGTCAGATTTACATTCAAAGAGCATAGGTTGAATGTTCTTCTAACAATATCTACTTTGCTGAACAGAAGTTCATCTGAAATTCCAAACTTAAATGAATAACTCAAATGGGTGTGCCCTCCTCAACCCCCCACCCAGATCCCGGGATTTGGAGAGTCTCTGCCCCCATCTTCTTTGCCCTTCCTTGGTCCTGCTACTAGGACAGGAGAAGTATTGATACTTGCTCTGTCTTACATGTTAAAATGCCGCCACTGATTAGGTAATGACTATGTGGGGGTCGACTACTACCTTTGCCTGTGCTAGGAAAACCCAGTGAGCAACTTATTTACTGGTGAAATAAAAAGACAGTTAGGGGGCTTTCCTGGGGGCGCAGTGGTTAAGAATCCGCCTGCCAATGCAGGGGACACGGGTTCGAGCCCTGGTCCGGGAAGATCCCACATGCCGCGGAGCAACTAAGCCTGTGTGCCACAACTACTGAGCCTACACTCTAGAGCCCGCGAGCCACAACTACTGAGCCCATGAGCCACAACTACTGAAGCCCGCACGCCTAGAGCCTGTGCTCCACAACAAGAGAAGCCACTGCAATGAGAAGCCCCTGCAGCGCAACGAAGAGTAGCCCCCGCTCGCGGCAACTAGAGAAAGACCACATGCAGCAACGAAGACCTAACACAGCCGAAAGAAAAAAAGACAATTAGGGACTCTGCACTGGCATAAGCTACAAATGTTGCCAATAACTGGCAACGCTGAGCGCTCACTGGCCAGTGGGCAGGTGACTACAGCTCCCAGAACACCTAGAGGGAGTCCCCTTTGCTAAGCAGTGTCAGTGAGTGCTATTTATTTCCCAGGTCCAAGAGTACAGAAGTAGAGAGAGTGCATGCAAAGAGGCCAGTGAATTCAAATACTAAGAAGAGGAGAAAAAACTGTCTTGAATGTCATTTCAGAGGCATTAAGGGAGTTTGAAATCTTCTGCCAATTTGTTGAATTAAGTCTACCTGCTAAAACTTTTGGGATTGTTACTTATAAAAATTAAATTTTTACCTTTTTTTTCTTTCTGGAGAGGAAGATATCTACATTTTGTTTTTTAAATAAAAGCTAATGGGAAAATTCAAATTCACTTGAGAGAAACTTGTAGAAAGGAATCTAGGCCTTTAGGAAGGATATTTATATTGCCATTATTTGAGATTAATTCTTCAGTTACTTGGTTGAGTTTCTTCCTCTTCCCTGCAAAAGTTATAAACTGAAATTCATTCTGCTATAGTTATTTCATATGATAGAAGAGATGCTTTTATAGAGACCTTTATTTTAGGAGCGAGGATGGGAATCAAATGGGAGAAATAACTTGCTCTAAAACTCCTGAAGCTGACTTGAAACAGGGTGACGTAGAACCCAGACAGAGGCTGAAATGGTACAGGCCGAGCTGGGGCTGGGAGCTGGGTCAGTCAGGCTGGGTTTCCTGCTACCCCTGACACGCTCTGTCACAAAGCAATAGTATTTTTTCCCCCTTCTTGTGTTACCTTTTCTTACCTATTTGCAAGAACAGTTCCGATCCAGAAAACACGCCAGAAATTTACTCTGAAACCAAGGGAAGACGGGGCGGAGGTGCCCTTCAGTACTGATAGCCTAGATGTAGGCAGATCAAAAGCTAAATCCAATTTAACCCACCTCAGGCAGAAAAAAATAATTGAATTAAACTTCCTCTAAATATGATAGGTTTGGGGATCTTAAATCCAGGCACAAAGAACCAGGTTAGAGTGAACTGTGGAGTAAATGGATGAAGGGAGCTCTGGTTGCCCCCGCCCACAGGGAGTTTGATAAGCTGTTGATTGCCTCTATCTCTTTACTATGGAGGCTGAAAACTGATTAAGCTGCTTATGGGGCTCCGAGGCTAACGGCCCACCAAGAATACTGGTGCCACTGATTTAGGTAAGCTGCTTGGCATGTATGGTTTGATTATTACAATGGGGAAAAAAAAAGAAAAGAAAAAAAGCAGGGTATAGGAAAGCTTTAAAAAAGAAGGCTTTATTATGCCAAATAGATACACTATTTTGACTATTCCTAAAAGGAATATGGAATTACTGATTCTTTCTCTTCATCTGGTATCAAAACTCATTTTTGAAAGGCTTCCTCAAAAAGTACTCACTTTGGGGCCCACCCATTCTATTTTAAACCACCTTTACAAGAAGATGTCACTGGTGCCTTTAAACATACTTCCCCAGTGATAAGAGTCTCGGTCCTCAGACACTAAGATCAGGTAGAGTCCTAGAAAATATATAAATGTAAACTGGGTCTGTATCCGATTCTTCCCCTTGAACACCACTGGGCAATCACAATTAAAACTGTATCTCTTTCCACTCCAGCCAGCAGATCACTGGTGCCTGATTACGTAGTAAAGGACAGCAGGACTGAAGGAGGGGAAGGAGCTGATATGTGCAAATAGGTTTCAACTGGATGTACAAGTGGAAATTAAAACCCTAGTGTTCTCTCATCCTCTCCAACTAAAATGCTCTAAAACTATTTCTACCTTTTAAAACAACCTGCCCACTTCTGGTGGGATAAAGAGAACACAAAACTCTCAGTTTAAATTACTTTTCAAGGTTTTACTTATTTTTTAAGTCTTGAAAAATGAGTGAAGGATCTGAACACAGATTAAGTTGACCTCATTTCTTCTGGACAAAACAGCAAGAAACAAAAGAACCGAATCACAGCAGTTTGAGACGTTCTGAAAGTTGTCACAATTTTTTTTTTTTTGGTCATTGACTCTTGAAAGAATCCACAATATATGGAAAAGAAAGCAATGCTTTCATGTAGTGTCTGAAAGCTTCTTAGGGAGTGAGCTGTTGATTTAAATGATTAACCAAAGCTTAACATATTCAGAATTTTGGGTTGAACAGACAAAATGTTGGTTTTCTTTCCGGCTGCTAACCTGGTCAGTCATTAAAAGGAGATACGTACACAAATAAGAGTATAAGAAGATGATTTTGACTCTTACATGCTCTGTTGTGTTCTACTAAAATTTAGTGTCATCCAACTGTTTGATGTGAGCACAAGTCAAAGAGTTTAATATATTCATTGCCTTTTATGTCTTTTTTTTCCCTTGTACAACTTTTTTTGTTGATATAATTCACATACCATAAAATTCACTCTTTTAAAGTATACAATTCACTGGCTGCTTTTAGTATAGTTTCAAAGTTGTGCAACCATCACCACTAATTCCAGAACATCTTCATCAGCCCCAAAGGAAACTGCACACCATTAGCAGCCACTCCTCACCCCCGGCTCTCCCCAGGCCCTGGCAACCACTCACCTACTTTGTCTCTATGGATTGGCCTATTTGGGACATCCTAAGAGAAGTCCACATAAAAAAAAGAATCATGAAATAGGTATTTGTTTCTGTCTGGCTTCTTTCAACGTGCTGTTCTCAAGGTTCATCCGTGCTGTAGCGTGTATCAGCACTTCACTCCTTTTTTATGGCTGAATACTATTCCATTGCGTGGCTATACAACATTTTGTTTATTCATTCATCAGCTGATGAACATTTGGGTTGTTGCCACTCTTTAGCTATTATGAATAATGCTGCTTTGAACATTCCTGTACAAGTTTTTATGTGGACATATGTTTTCAACCCTCTAGGGTATATGCCTAGCAGTGGAATTGCCGGGTCACACGGTAACTCTACGTTTAACTTTTTGAGGGGCTGCCAAACTATTTCCCTAAGTGGCCGCACCACTTTCCATTCCCAGCAGCGTATGGGAGCTCCAGTTTCTCTATATCCTTGCCAGCATTTCTTATTGTCCTAGAATATCTTTTTATACTAAGTTTTCTTTTCTCATTCTGAACAGAAAATAATTGATTATTAGGGCTTGTGAATAAAACTACTCCAATCATGGCAGAATTCAGTGCCAAAGCCATAATCAACAAAAACATTTTCCCAGGGAGAAAACAGAAATGAAATGGCCCCTCTAAGTGCTTACCTGCTGCAGATCAGCGAGGGAATACAGGTGGATCTGTTGAAGGAGGTATTCTCTGGGGAAAATTCTGAAAACGGACAGAAACACATAAATTGTGGTGCTGCCACAAAACACACTTTTTCTGAGAAGTTTCCAAGTCTCATTCAAGAATCCCTTTCCACCTAATACTCTTCCTCCCCACATCCTCTGAGAAACCTGTAATAATACCTTTTTCCAGATACTTTTCTTTCTAACACAAATACCAAAAACGGAGTAAGGGTGTGATCTCTGATTTCTGATGTAGTCCAAGGTGCTAGGAGCACAGTGCAATGGTCCAGGCCTGAGGACCAGAGTGCCAGGTTTCTTGTACCAGCTGCTTCCCTAACAAGCTGTGTCATCTCAGGGAAGTCTTAAAACCCACCTAGCTTCAGATCCTTCATTGGTTAATGAAGGTGACTGAACTTGGTGTCTTTAATCTCTTTCCAGCTCTATTAGTCTATGTCTAGATGAATAGATTTTAGAGTTGAGAAAATCAGTTGGAGGGGCAACCTGTGTGTCTTTGCCTAGAGGCTCCTACGGCTTTCATTAAGGGAGATGGCAGTGCCAAACACCACTTAGTGAGCTATCCTCTTACGTGCACAGTGACGAGTTTTGGAACCTAGGTACAGATGGGAATAATGGGACAAAATATTTCAAATTGAGACTCCCTGACAAAGTCCAGTATCTTTGGTTACTGTCAATTCATAGCATCTGGATAAATGACGGTGATTGAACAGGAAGTCAGTTAGGGACAAGCAAACAGGTACCAAAGCATAGATGGTCAGAAAACACCACACACACACACACACACACACACACACACACACACATACACACACACACACACGTATACACAAAACAAAACTCATGGTGCTAGCATTTTCTCTCTGTCTTAGGATACAAGAAAATTGCATAGTACCACCTAAATGAAAGAAGCCACCATCTCAATTAACATTTATGACTATCTGCTACACGCCAAGCACTGTGCCAGGCACTAGGAATTATGAATTATGAATGAGACAGTCACAGTACCTGAGCATATCAGAGCATATCAAGGAGAATAAAGTCAAG